GAGCAGTCGTCTGACGATATCTCCCATCCGTGTGTCTATCTCCATTTGGGTGGAACACTTAATAAAACAGTCATGTATTAACCGGCAGCACAGAACTGGTCTGCACTTCAGAACCGATCTCTCAATTTCACATAAATATTGCTGCAACACTGAAGCAGGCCTCTGTCCTATCGTCATCCCCTAACCTGTTTGTAATCAGGGCACACCATTGGTTGGGATTTCGGTCGAGCACGTACGACCCCCCCCCTCCCCCATTTTTTTTTTCAGGGAGTTCGTACGACCCACGACTCCCATCCCTTCTCCACCCTACTTACCACATTCTTCGTTTCTTCGACTTTCCCAACTTCCTAGCACGCGGAAATTTTCCTACGCTTACCCACAAATTTTGCTGTCGAGCGGGGAGGGCAATTACGATCCCCCTCCCAACAACGAGCGAATACGACCCCTCCCTTTATAGCGTCCGTGAAACAAGAAAAATCAACTATCAAAGAGAATTCTTCTCATGCTAAACACGACCTCACTCCCCCTGCGACCAAGCACGACACCCCCCCCCTCTCTTTGGGAATCCCCAACAACGATGTGTTCTGTTTGCAGCACTCTCCCCACCACCTCAATATGTAGCACATCAGACATGCCTTGAGAAGCTGTACGGCCTGGGATATTGTGAGCTCGAAAAGTTGGTAGAGCGTCTCACTGGGGGCTTCAGAAACGGCCTGCACACCACAATCCTTAGACACAATTGTGTAGAATGAAGTGATGTGGAAAGACTCCATAACATTATGTCCCTTCACTCTCATTTCCCGTGGTTTCTTAAGAGGCGCTTAGATGTTGAGATCACCTCACCTGTATCATGTGCTCCCGTTGATCATCGAGTTCCTCGAGCGGGCGCCAGTAACGTCTCCATTCGTCCCTGCAACGTGCAAGAGTTGCCCAATGACTCTCTCTGCTCGAGGGACACGATGAACTTCATACCATTCGTTCAGAGCTTTCACGAAGAAGTCTGACCATCGCATAGGCATAGGCGGTCGTCCAGGCGTTCGCTTGACATCCCGTGGAATCCAGTCGGTGATCGCTCTGGTCCAGCGGTCGTCCTCGAAACGCATGACGTGCCCCCACCTGATCTTCGAAACCTTGGCAAATGCGGCGGCGTCTCTGATCTTCGATCGTCGGCGGAGTGCGGAGCTCCGGATTCCCTCTCTCACTTGCGTGTAGCGGGAAACTCCGAGCATCGCCCTTTCGATGGCGCGTTGAATAACGCCAACCGCATGCTCATCCTGCTTTCGTAGAGTCCAAGTCTCTGAGGCGTACGTCAAGGCAGGAAGGACCGCGGAATCGAAGAGGTGGGCACGGAGCTTGGTGTTCTTCGTCTTCTTCGCTACTCCCTCGATGTTCTTGAAGGCTCCCCAAGCCACGGCTGAGAGAGCCGCTCGCTTCCTCCTGCTCAGCTCTGGTGCTGAGTCAATCATCATATTGATTTCACGACCCAGGTACACATAGTTAGAGTGTTCAGAGATGGTCATTACGTTGAGCGTGAATGGGCATCGGACCAATCCGTTTCTCATGGACATCGTCTTCGTTAGATTCAGCCGTAGACCGATTTTTCCACACGCGCAGTCGAAATCAGCCAGCATTCGTTCCGCTTGCTCGATGTTTGGTGTTATCAAAACGATGTCGTCAGCAAAGCGGAGATGGTGTAGTTGCCGACCGTCGATCTTCACTCCCATGTCTTCCCATTCCAGTTGACGCATGACGTTCTCGAGAGAGGCGCTGAAGAGCTTGGGCGAGATGGTGTCGCCCTGTCGGACCCCTCTCTTCACATCGATGATGATCTCCTTGTAGAATGGTGAGATCTTGGTCGTGAAGTTGCTGTAGAGCTCACGAAGAATCCTGATGTACTGAGTAGGAATACCCTGGTTGCCCAGGGCTTCGATAACCGCTTCTGTCTCAACGGAGTCGAAGGCTTTCTTCAAGTCGATGAACGTGAGACATAGCGGCATCTTGTACTCTCGCGATACTTGTCTCCTTCTTGTACAGCAACACAGTCTTGCTGGTTTTCCACGAGGTGGGTACCTTGCATTCCGACAGGTAGCGCGTGAAGAGTCGAGCCAGAGTTTTGACAAGAACTGGCGGAAGATTCTTCAGATGTTCGGGTCTGATCCTGTCGGGACCGGGTGCCGTACGATTCTTTACCGACGAGATGGCGTGTCGGACTTCGGAAGGGAGAACTGCAGGAACGACATATCCATCCTGCTCCAAGCGGTATGGTTGCAGGTGGACGTGGCTGTCAAAGAGATCCGAGTAGAAGTCGTGGATGACCTTCTCCATTGCCCTTCTGGATGCGGTGATTGTTCCATCCGGACGTCGGAGGGCGGTCATTGGTCTTACAGTTGGCGAAGTCGCGGCGGGCGTTGCGTATGCTCTTCCCAGCCTCTGCGGCTTCCACCAGTACTGCTGCTCTTCTCTCCTTGAGGTCTTCCTTTATCGCTTCT